CTGCTGGTTTGTATCCTGCATAGCAAGTGCCTTATAAACACTCTTACCGACGGCCTCTCGTGCCCAAAAATAGGGGACACCCATAAACAAAGACCAGGTCTCGTCATATCCAGGAAATCCGAAATGAAACGCACGGAGGTGCATGAAAATTATTAAGACCTGTAAACCCCATCATGAATAGAATTTTATCGTCTACCCGGTCCAACCTTGCCACACTTTTAATCAAAACAGTTGTTAAATGCATTCATCTTCCTCTCCCCTACGATTTTAGAAATGCCGATAAGTGATAACTAGCCGAAGATGGCGTCACATCTTAAGATCGTGCCACTCATGGTCACTTGAGACTCAGGGTACGTTTACCATAAATAAAGAAGTACTATTAGCCGATTACTACCAAATACAGCACTGTTGCAATCGTCTCGTTGCCGTGGTTCATACGATGGGAAAATTTGTATCTGAAAGGAATACGTCAAACCTATGCCGACGTGACCGACCGGGCCCAGTGACGTCATCGGAACCACAAGATTGATGTGGCGTAATGAAAGAGAAGCGGTCGCTGGCTCGATACAATTGGTGACTGACGCCAAGAGTTTGGAGCCATAGGTACATACTGACGCATTTACGATCATGTTTTGTTTCTCATGCATTTCGATGAAAATCGATTTCCTGGTCGCATGGCTTCATCCAAGAAAATCCCTTCAAGAAGAGGATATTGTTTTTCTTTCCGTTGATCTGAGGCTGGGTCGTTCTGGAGAAGTCAGAGCCATCCCCTTCACAATGAACATTTATTCTCTGTATGGTGTCCTTAGCGAAGATTTGTTTAAATTATTGTTTTTGGCGTACCTGGCTCTGAGTTCAATTACGTTAAATAATACTGTTTTTAACTATAACTATTGGTCTGGTGCTTCGATTCAGTCGAGTCAAATGACATTTTTTTCACTTTCGAGAGAAATGTTCCCCCCTAATAGCAATGTTGCAAATTTTCTTCATAGAAAAAAATGATGGAAATGGAACGTCTAAGTTTCTCCCATGAGCAGAATACATATTCGGAGGTTTTACACACGCATGGCAAAAAGTAATGGGTGCAATACGAAGTATCCAGTTGAGGTCCGAGTCGAAGTGCTCTCGATTAGGATACTTCATGCGGGTGAGAACGTTTTGTGGACCACCTCTTCCCAACCTTGAATCTCGAGGCGATAAACGCCATATGAACTCGATGCGTCGCGCAAAGAGAGAGTCGGGGACTGCGTCGTACGATTCTCTAAATATAGAAGCCTGAAAACGAGAGCACGTCGACTGGGGCCCTCGATCCAGTCCCTGTGATGCTATTATCTCGTTAGCGTGGAGTAGGATCGACGAGATTTCCGTTATTTGGTGAGTTATTCGAGCCCGCGAATTCTATCGCTGTTAGATGTCCATCCCCAGTGTGAAATGATGATAATGATTAGCAAATTATGTCAAATTATGATATGGCAAGCAAACTAAAATTACGATATGAATCATAATTTCAGTTTGCCATTGAACAGTTCCATTTAAGGCACTATAAGAATATAAAAATAGAGGCCCCTGGATCGAAATTCCGCTCCATAATTGTTGTAAGGGACCCCAAGAAAGGGCCTTCAAACCGATTGCTGAAACATTGAAACCGTCTGTCGGGTCACGCCCGGGGCCATGATTTGAGGTCAATGGTCACGATTCACATGCCTCTCTTTGAACATCTGTATCCCCTCAACCCGACGTTGCAAAACGTCTAATTTGTGCCATTCTCCTTGGGACATATTGCTCTAAATGGAAAAAAAAGTTTGAATGTGACTGTCGTTATCGAGACGCCTTGGCACCATAATTGACAACTTTTCCATCGCAGTCTCCCGTTTTTCCACGCTCATTCCTCGTAGAAATTTCCTATGGACAAAAGCATGCTTTACTTTTTGCAGGATATTGTAATTTATATTTTGGGGGAAGTCCGCATCCAACCGTTCCCTCTCAAAGCTCGAAGATCCACCTGAAAATGCCACTTTCTTGGAAATGACGAGGTCGAAGGACATTGCTCGAAAACGAGCCTGAAATTCTAAAATTCCTCTGATGGACATCTTAAGAACTCTCTCAACAAGTTTTTAGTGGGATTTTTACCCCCTCCCTGTCTTCTCTCTCCAGAAGGCAATAGAATGAACACTTGGAAACTGGGTGCGGATAAATGCCTGCCGGTTCGGGTGCTAATTTGTAGGGCATTAAAATGCAGACAAAATGTACAAGAAGTACACACGCTTGTAATTGATGAAATGGTAAGAATAAAAATTCATTAGAAGTCCAAATTATCCTAAGTGACGGACAGAGAGTTCAAACTGTCAAAATATGTACAAATTTGTAGACAGAAGGACTTTCAATATTTCTTGCCCTCACTCCCCCTTCTACCCCCCCCCCCCCCCGCCCTCCTCTCCTCCCTTGAACCTCGCCTGCCAGGACGTGCCTGGCACCCGCCTTCTCGTCTCCTGTCTCGCCTTCTCGACACGTGACTGGGATGAGTCTCTTCCGGCCCCTCAACCTCATCGCCCTTCATAATTCCATCCACAGTGCAACTACCGAGTACACTCTCGTTTTCACGGGTCCATTTTGGCTTTTTGCTTACAAAGCCTTCATGCATCAAGTTTTAGTATAAAATACCAAGTCAAATGCAACGGAATTTTTTATGCGATGACGTTTCATTTAGCAATGAAAAGGGATTTTCTTCAAAGGAATTTGGAGCTTTTTGTGTTCGGAAAATTATACTTGCAGCTGAAGAGAATATGAATAGACGCGGCAGCGCGCATTACCTTCCTTCAACATCTTCTGGGGAAAAAATTCAAACGTCTCGTATTCCTCTTTGAGAGCATCAACGGAAATGAAATTTGGCCTACTTCTTTCTCTCTCAACACATAATCACTACTGACAATTCGAAGCTCCATCTCCCCGGGGTTGTGGAGATCACTAAATCTCCCCTTTTGCAGATGTGAAAGTCGTTGTTTCCTCACCCCCTAGGTAGTTGCTCCTAGGAAGTTTTTGGAGGAAAGAAACCGAGCAAACGAAGGATATTGATCAGGAGGTGACAAAAAGTCTCATTTTTTGGTTTCAATGCACCATTTCGCGGTGAAAAGGGAAATTAGATGCCGTTAATTTAGGCTAACCGCGACGAGTCCAGTCCCGTCCTCCAGTGTTACCGGATATCGTGCCTTTGTTATCCCAGATTCATAACTTGAGGGCTTGAGGTTGAAGGAAGGTGAAATACTTGAAAATTGGTTTCCACATTCCTACATCTAATCATTCTCACTTCTATTAGAATTAGTAGCAGACGAAAATAATGCGTATTTTTCCTATGGGCACCGTTTCTCTAGCGGCTTTTGAAACTGAAGTTGCGAAATTGGAATGCTTAATTTATGGCGGGTCCTTCACTGTTTCTTTGGGGAGGGTAGAGACAACGAGTCGCACCCGTTAACAGATATTTAACCTTCAAATGGAATTTCACAACGTGATAGTGAGTCATATTAAAGAATTAATGTTTCTATATACAAATATGAGATGTTATGCTATTTAAAATATAGACGAAAAACTGATAAAAACTCAATATTAATTACCTCGTCGATTAAGATATTCGCATTCGCTCATTACTAAGTTACAAAAAATATATATTATTCTTAATGGCCTTTGAACAGTCATCCAAAAAGAAATGTTTTTACATTCCTTGGTTTGAAAACTGTAGACCGCTCCAGCGTGACTTACGATCCGATACGGCCATAAACAAATCGCCAGAATGTTTGTGTGTTGCAATGACTCCGCAGACTCCTATTAAGCTACCTATTAAGCAATTCTGGTAGACACGTATTTGATAATTGACTGAGCTACAGCTCCAGCGTCAAAAGAGTTCATTTTCTTCCCATTTTTTTAAAGGTATTCTGAAGGCGCCCTTTGTGAGAGGGAAGCAGGCAATGGAAAAGAGGGAGCGATGCAACTGTAGGCAATCCGGCGCGAAAATTCACACCAGATCTTTAATGCAAGGAATGGCTCTCTTGGGTCACAAGTGTCCTCGACTCAAGCATTCCACATGGGCGAGAGGCTTTTGTGTCGCACGAGTTCCAAACCTTAAACCTTGAAAGGGTAAATAATATGCAGTATAATGTTTACGACTGGAACGCAGGCCTGGGGCCTGTCGCGTTCTGAAATGCAAACATCGAAGCTTGATCTTGAGACCACGCCAACCATAGACAGCGTTCCGGTCTTCAACATGCGGCAATCTAGCGAGTGTCCAGAATAAGCCAAAAGTTTCCCGTGAATAGCTCATAATATCGTGTCTGCGACAGGAATTTGGTGCATGTGTGTCTCTAGACTCAATGTTGGGGTTTTCTTATCTATGAAGAAAGCCTTATGCTACTTAGAAAAAAACTTTATTTGCAACTTTCGACAGAAGGAAGATAAAAAAAAACATCGTTAGAATGCTTGGATGTTTCCTTTTTGCACATAGACATTTGCGAATTTTCATCAGTTAACATATTCACGTGAAATTTACATTTTGAAACATCTAGGAGCCGCGACTCTGAATCTGTATAACTGCCGTTTGCATTTCAGGCCTGAAAACAAGTCCAGGAAGCTGTGCATCAAAATGAGGGGAATTCCATGTCTTTTATTTGCACTGATTCTTTCAACCAAGTACGGGTCAGGAAATGTAAGTCGAACCTCATCCGTTGTCGAATTCCCTTACGCGCCTTTCAAAGAATGAAGATACACAATTATATGTGGTAGTATGTGGATTTCCATGAAGAAAGGCTTGTAGAATGTTCTACTGTAAATACACTAAGGGTGGATACACGTAATGAAGACTTGGGAATTTGAAGAAATTTACTGTTTCATTTATGCACCTTTGGTGTTTTTCTCATGTTTTTCGGGCAATGAATGAATGGTTTTTGGCTGTTGAAGATTGCAGGTTTCCTTCTCGAAGTAAAGAATCCATTCTTCGATATTGCGAAAATAATATGTCTCGTCGCTCTTCGACTTCCCAGGCACTCCAAAGCACTCCCACCCGTGGACTGGAAAATATTGGAGGCAACTTGGAAGAAATGATGGAAAGCCTCAGGGCCGCCTACAAAGAATTGAAGCATGACTTTGAGAACATGAGGAAAGAGCACGAAAAACTCAAGTCCAGCTTGCAGGAGCACCTCCGGGAAGGAGACGAACTTAAACTTCAGCTGAACGCCACGGAAGGAAGACTCCAATATCTGGAGGCTATTAGCCTGCAAATAAGTCAGTGGAGACTTGGTGAAGCCCTTCAATCATAATTCTTAATGAGCATGAAACATAATTAACTATTTTGGTGAGCTAATGGCATAAAAATCGTTCTTCCGGTAGCATATCCTATCACTGCCTGGAATGTCTGATATCTGGACTGTGATTGTCACCACCATTTTACTGGTACATTGGGCGCAGTTGTTCATCAAATATGGCTCTAACTATCTGCGAACATTCAGCGATGAGAATCGCACAGCATTGAAATTCCCTGACAACAAATGGCTCCACAAGACATTGATGACATCGAATGGAATGGCTCCTATATTGAGGGCGACGAATCTTCGCCTGAAGCACGTTCTATAGGGGCACAATAAATAATTGATATAATTGAGAGGCACATTGAAACGCTTCAACCAACGACATGCAACGTTCTTCATGATCGCCCTTCGCTCCCTTGGTCTTTTAACGTCCGATGCACTCTCACGGGCTTCTCGGGTATACTTTATGTCCACCAGTTAAACTCGCGTCATCATGTATCATCTTTCTCGAATAAAGGGGGCATTCTGTGGCAACTCTTATATTTATCCTTCTGCTGGCAGAAACTTCGTTACTATGTGCTGATCCTTTTAGGACGCTTATTTCATCACTAGCATCGCCTTAGAACGACTAATACGCCCGCGCTTAGTGAACAACTCAGACAGCTGTGAAAGTAGCACTGCAGCCGATCGCATATTCCACGGCAGTGATATGAAATGCTGTCGTTACCCGAACTGCAATTTCAGTACGAAATGTTCTAAAGCATCGTCTTCATTTCATAAGCCATTGCTCAGAAGTACGTCAGTTCTTCCAGATGAGGACGGCAATCTATCAAATCTTTTATCTTAGCTCCCCGAACGTGTCAGACTTTGGCAGACTTGGGAGTGACACGGACAGGAGAATACCTCGTGGATCCTGACGGAGTGCTGATCGGTGATGCACCCATCAAAGTGCTCTGTAATATGGAGAGAGGTCGGTGATGCAAACAATCGTTCCGTCATTCCCAAGAAGACTTAAATTGGTTTGTTTCTTACGCATCATGCTTTCTCAACTATGCTACATCTAGATCCAGTATCCACGATTGTTCTCCATGATTCAATGGGAAACACTGAGATAGAGCGATGTGCTGATCCTGGATGCTACAATCACAGTATTAGGTATGGTTCATCGATGAAACAAATGGTGGCATTGATGGAGCAATCGAAGTCGTGTGAACAGCAAATAAGAGTGAGTCGATCCTGTCATCTCAAGACTTTGTATTTTAATGTGCTTTTATCGCAAACCAAAAGGTTAACATCGACAAATTTTGAAGAACACATGCTCTCCTATCCTTTCAAAAAAGTCACACCTGTACAAGGTAATAGCAAATATGACCTATTTCCTGCCCGGGGATAACAAGAGCAACAACCAGGTGGCATTCCTCGTGGCAGTGAACGCGCTACTCAATAACGTACGCAATCATTCGCTCTTCGGTCATAGTTGCTATTTGCTTCCGTTCCTCTTAATTTCCCAGTTAATTCCCATTGGTCAAACTACCAGGAATGCATTGAAGGGAAGGCTATCTATTGGGTCATTCCATGCCAAATCGACCAGCGAGAAAACTCGACCACCTCGGATTTCGACAAAAATCGGTATACACGTAAAGGAATCGAATTAATGAGACCAATTTCGACCTTTTTTTTTCATCTCTCCCACTTATCTCCAGATAAATGCTTTTTAATGAGACATACTTTTCTTGCTCGAAGCTCCCATACCTACTGGAATTGTTAAACTGTTTCTGCAGTAATTTCATCTGTAGTTTAAATTCGCTTCATTCTTGTATAATTTTAATCGTGAGATTGCCATATTCCATCCATTCCCATCCACTCAAAAACTAGACCCATTATCCACTCCACGGCCTGATTCGAGGAGGGAAAGTGAAACGCAGACCTCAGCAGACGTTGCGAGGATGATTGGATGTGGCTGGCGCGGTATGCAGTTGTTGAGCGCAACGCCAATTTTTAATGATGGAAATTCTATAATTTTTTTCTAAGTCACCCTTTAAGATATTTCAAGTCTGAAAAAAATTGTAGTTGAGTCTTACTTCATTTTATTACATGTAACGAGAAAAGAAATCTTTGAGAGTATCACACTTAAATCACACTTTAAAATGAGTACATAACTGACGTGAAGTTGAATTAAACTAAAATTCATCCTTTATAGTGGATCCCCTCATGCACAGCTTTTGGGCGGGTCGCTTTCCAAATATATTTTCCACAAATGAAAAGAGCAAACGTTTTCGATTGAAACTTGGTGGGCATGGAGTTTTCCAAGTACCGATTTAAGTAAATGTAATATTTTTTGGCAAAACCCCTCAGGGCACATTTTTTTGCAATACGCGCATTTTCAGATTATTTTTTAATTGAATAAACCAGAGAGTGATAGAAAGTTGAAACTAGCCTCAAAAGTAAATTTTCTATTATTGAGCGCATAAATATTCTAATTTTGAAATGTGTTGCCTCTGGACGGTTTATGGGGAGGGAAGCATTTCAAGATTTATTTTTCGCTCTAACGAAAAGGGCCACATGTAGAAGTTGAAAGTTCGGCACACATGAAATCATCAGAATAATGATTTCGATAATAACAAAATATTGGTTACATTCCCGCATGGCACATACCTTGTATTTCGACAGGGACGTGCTTTAAAAAACATTTTTCCTACTTCGAAAATGAAATAATTAGCCACTACTCTGGATAATGGGCGCGATCATAGCGAGTTTGTGGGCCCGAAGGGGAAACAAACTCGCTAGTTTCAATGAACTTGCCACTAAATTGTTACCTCTCCATTATAAATGAAGCTCATATCCTGTAACACGTCTCTGCGTTCAAGTATCCGTTTTTTTAAGCAAAGTTGAATTTTCAAAAATCATTGTGATATCGGCTACGGATTCCTATCGCACGCCTACCTACATAACTTCTCATCCCCACTACAGATATTCAAAAGTATTTCATAAATCTTCCTGTCCATTCCTCCTTGTGTTACCCAAGATACCCAGGATTAACAACAGAAAATCAGCATGCCAGAATATTGATTTCAGAGTACCATCTAATATTCCATAGTTGCAGAAGTTTCAGACTCAGCATTAACTTTGTCTCGTTTCAGTATGACTGTTTCACGGCGGCCCTCTCAGCGGGAGACGTACACTATGCATGGTGGGTGGACCGTCACGGCGAACCTCAGTACCACTGGCACGGACCAAACGCAGGACAACACATGTGCAAATGCGGTCTCTCTGGCAACTGCATAGATTCCAACTTCCATTGCAATTGTGATGCGAAAGCCCCCCAATGGGAATCAGACTCAGGAGCGATAACGAATGAAACAGCATTGCCCATAACTGAGTTGCACTTCGGGGGACAGCAATTTAAGAGTCAGAAAGCGAATTACTCATTGGGTGGATTGTCTTGCAAGGGCAAGACTCCACCCCCTGATAATCCAGCAGAATCCTGTTCATCTCTTCACCGAGCTGGAAACACTCATCCTGGTTATTACCTGATCAACTCCAAGAAAGGTCGCTTGGATGTTGTTATGTGTAGGATGGATTTGGAGGAGACCGACCCGAAGTTTCAGGAGGAGACCACTGCACGTATAGAAGGGGAGGGGTTTCTTCATGGTAAGGTTACGTCTCCAGGCAATCCAGCGGAATCCTGTTCATCTCTTCGCCAAGCTGGAAACACTCAGACGGGTTATCACCTGATCACCAACAAAGAAGGGCGGTTTGATGTCGTTCTGTGCAGAATGGATTTGAAAGAGACTGACCCGGAGTTTCAAACCGTAACCAGAGCTCGAGTCGCAGAAAAAGTAGTTTATTTCGATGCAATTGGAGCATCGGGAAGTGTAAAAAAAGTAATTCACTTCAGCGGGACTGAGGTGAACATAGGCCGGGCGATGAATGCGAGCACCGGAGTTTTTACGGCACCGATAGATGGCATCTATGTTTTCCATTTTCATTCGCATATGAGCCCACCATATCACCTTGACCTTTATTTCCGAAGAAATGAAGTCGTGAAAGCATACATCATTTCTGATAGCGATCTTGGTGATGGTCACGATCAGATGCTTGGCCAATCTTTTATGCTCCACCTTCGGAAGGGCGATAAAGTCGATGTCTACTTGAATGCTGGGATTCTACGTGATTACACGCATTATGTTGGTTATTTGTTATACCCCATGTGAGAAATACATTTTATGAATGCATACTGCTGTTCATCGTTCAATTTTTTCATTAGTCAGAACCATATAGTGTCATTATGCGGCAGCAGCCACCACTGTTACAAACCCGCGCCGGCAGGCGCGGTGTCGGAGCGAACATGGCGAAGGTACTGCACGTGCATACGAAGCTGGAGATCCAAGCAGTAATTCGGTTTCAGTGGGCACGGAAGACCGAACCGGTGGAAATCCACCGACAGCTTGTGGTTGCGTATTGCACGGATGTCCTGTCAGTGGAACATGTGAGGAAATGGTGCCGTGAGTTCAAAAACGATCGCGTGACTGTGTATTGGATGAGGACAAGAGTGGACGCCTGTCGACATCATCCGATGTTGTCGATCAGTTCGATGCAGCATTTCGAGGAGACAGACGTTCGTCTCTTCGGAAATTGGGGCAGTCTTTCGAACTTTCACACGCCTGTGTCTGGCACATTGTGCAGGAACGTCTAAGCTATCGGAAATTCTGCAGCAGATGGGTGCCGAAGCAATTGTCCGACGGCCACAAGCAGGAACGCATGACAGCGTCGCTCGAAAACCTTCAGCGATACGCGGAAAAAGGCGACGACTCTTTGTGTCGCACCATCACCGGCGACGAGACATGGGTCCACCACTATACTCCAGTGACAAAGATGGAATCAATGACATGGAAGCATTCCGGTTCCCCTACCAGAAAGAAGTTCAAGACAACGCCGAGTGCTGGAGTGATGGCAACCATCTTTTGGGGCGTTCACGGGATCATTCTCATCGATTTCACTCCACGTGGTGAGACTGTGAATGCCCGCAACGTATCAGTTGACGTTGAAAAGACTGAAGCAAGCGGTTCGACAGAACCGGCCTGGACTGCTGTCAGAGGAAGTGCTTCTATTGCACGATAATGCCCGCCCGCACATTGCTCTTTCCACGATGGACCTTCTCAGCACCTGGCTTCGGGAAACTGTTCACCACCCACCATACAGTCCAGACCTGACGCCGTCGAAGAGGAAGTCACAAAGTCGCTCCAGGCGCAGGACGCGTCCTTCTATCGGCAGGGCTTCGATAAGCTGATCGACCGTTACGGCAAATGTCTCAACAAGTCTGGTGACTACGTGGAAAAATAATGAACGTATGTGGGTACATCTCCTGTATATTGCCTTCGATGTAATTACCTGCCCTCCGAAGAAATTAAATAAGGAACCGTACTTTCTGACTAACCCTCGTACTCTGAAAGACTCAGACAAATTTATTTTCTTGCTAAATTCATCGGTTCATTCCGAATGAAAAACACTTATACAATATGCAAACAATGCAATCAGGATTTAAACCGACCTGAAATCGAAATTTTTCCTTTCTCGAGATCGTCGCCCCCTACCTCTCCCCCGAACGTTCACTTTTGAACGATTATTAATTCATGACAGGTTTCACTTGAATTCATCTGTATAAAAAAAAATTGCATTCTTCAGTGCAGAGTGTTTCCTGCGATCAGTAGTGCTAATCCATTCATTATTGTTAAACCTTGGCCGAAACATTGACATGGAGAGCGCATCATATTATGGAATGGTTATGTCCCTGGACATGTATTAAATACACAATTGGATTCAATTAATTTTTCATTTCCGGCAAGAGTTCCTTTGAGAACCACGGGCAATCTGTACTGGGTTCTCCGTGAGAATTCACTTCCGGACGAAATGTTGCTTAACTTCCTTGGACGTCTTGTCAATTTTTTTTTTTTTTTTTTTTTTTTTTTTTTTTTTTTTTTTGGGGGGGGGGGGGATTGAAGCACTCTTGAATCACGCTGGGCATGATGACTTTTCATTTTTGCTGGCCGCGAAGGATTAGCAGAGATCTGCTTGACAAGACGTCCAAGGAAGTTAAGCAACATTTCGTCCGGAAGTGAATTCTCACGGAGAACCCAGTACAGATTGCCCGTGGTTCTCAAAGGAACTCTTGCCGGAAATGAAAAATTAATTGAAGCCAATAACTGGCATCCTAGGGAACTTAAAGTTTCCAAGGAAAATAAAATGGAAAAGATCGGTAGTCCAAGGACCCTTGCGTTTGGGCGCGAGCCAATGAGATTATCAGCGACGAGATCACTGAAGTGCATAAGTGGGAGACGTTTTCCTATTCCCAGAGCAGACCGTTGCACATCCATCACAATGACGTCATAACGCGACGGCATTGAGCCCAGCAGTGCGCCGCGTGAGTGGCATTGCGTGTTCATGAGGTACTGGTCCGATCTAACGTTAGTGAAAAATTATCCATCCGAACGGATTCGTGACCGGAAGCTCTTTTATTCAGCTTTAGACGGAAATTACATTCTTCCTCAGCGCTTTCATTAGGTCTAAGAATTGATCCACATGTTCCGCAGGAAATCAAACTCAATGGAATATTCCCGGGTCTTGGGTCCTGGTGCAGGGGTGCAGCATGGCCAGGGGCCTGTTGCAGTAACGTCCCAGGGGCCTGTTGCAGTAACGTCCTTACATCACACTCTTGCGAAACGTCAATGTGAGATGGAGCCTGGACCCCGATGAAGCCGATATCCAGGTAGCGATGGCACCGATAAACTGAATGAGGTGTTCCGTCATGCTTTATTCATTGTTTAGGGGAAATCCCTGTCCGTCGCTAATTTTGTCACCTTTCCCTTCGTCATTTTTAGACCCTTTTCGTCACTTAGTTAAGAGTTACCATTTCGGTCTCTTCGTCGTCATCGTCGACGGAATTCACAAGATACAGAGGGATTGATTGACTTGGTGTCTAGAGGTGTTTCTAATCAAAATCTTTGGAAACCACGTTTGCTTTCACTGTTCTATTATCGAGCAGTTCGAAATGTGTCCAAGTATCGAAAATCAATTAATAAAAATGGAAAGCGGGATGTGTAACTCACGGCTGTAAAGATTCCGCTGCTGGCATGCATCGTCTCGCCTCGTGCGTCTGAGTGTGTTTACCCCCCACTGTCGCACGAGGTCACGAACTGTGTCTGAAGGCCAAAAGAATCAGCTGATGGAAGCTACCGAAAGCGCGTTCTTGCAACGGGCGGCCGGTCATCGCGAGAATACGAAGTCCTGCGATTCGTGTCAGCCTCCAGGTCGATTGGATATTTCCGGGAATCGATGGATCCCGAGGGCGTTTGCGAAGTCTCCTTCCGAGAAACTCTTAGTCATTCGATCTAAAGAGTCTGGCGAAAAACGAATCCGTAGCCCTCGGGCAGGTGGACTGTTAACATCGCGAATCTTAGTCTCAATGTTGTCAACGACCATTGGACTGACTTAATTTACGAAGAGATAAGACCTGTGAGTTCGCACGCCACGAACCCAGGAATTTATATTGGAGATAGTTCCTGCTGAAAGAAACCCCCAGACACAAATTACCGAACGGAGAAGAGCACTTATCCATTTTCTGTTTCTCAGGAGGCATAACAGATAACCAGCAAAACGTGAGGTCAGTGGATATTATTCCCTTCGCTTATCAAGAAGGACTGAATTTGTCGCCCTTATTGAAGGACAGTAGGATAGATGAAAATCGAATATACGAATTGGAATCAACAGAGCGTACTTCTTCGTTCCAGCCTCAAATTTTCTCAGAAATAACCATGTGTTACCGTTGAGAGTCAGAGTGAAGATAAAAAGCATGGAGACTTGCCATGGATCCTGTTAAGATTCCACCGTTGGGATCCATTGCCTCGCCTATGCTACCATCGGTTCCGCTTATGGGAAGTACGCTGTCCGCACATCCCAACGATCCATCGAACCTTGGACTTGGTATTCGTGATGAACCTCATGATGAAGGCCGTCAGCAGAAAAAAAAACTCTCCAGATCGCGATTTATTATTTGATACCTCCGGTAAATGAAACGAGGCGTGGCGAAAGAGGAAAGGAGGGGGAAAACTGCCAATGGAAACGTGATGATGCTGCCACGTGAGAACGTCTATTTGCATCATCGCATCCCATCGCAGTCCAAAAATATCCAGTCCAAGCACCTGCAGCTCCCAGCCCCATAGGAGGCTCTCCCATATGTTGTGGGGGTGGCCCCCGAGTCAAGGGATGGAGTCTTGGGCGAACCTGGTCATCAGAGTATATACGTCCATGTGGGATTTCATTTTTTCTGATCACCAGTCTCAGACGAGTCCAGTTCAAGTATGACAATGGAAATCATAATAGCCATCAAGAGGCACCGTGAATATTCCTTTTTTAGAATCCGTTGCTCCGTCGATGTTGACTTCAGTCCTGTTGAATTGAATTACAATGTTTTCATTTCCGGGAGCTTCAAAAACATGAAAATAGATACTTTGCCATGCAATACGGACATTGGTCTTCACCTGAAACTTCGGGTCGGAATGTTCCAAATCCATCCAATACTGAACCACATGCAGCCGCCCTTCTTTGATGCTGATCAGGTAATTTCCCGAATTAGATTGTCCTGTTTGACGGAGGGACTAACATGTTTCTGCTGGATTGGCAGAAGATGGAGCCTTACCCCTGCAAGTTAATCCGCCCAGAGTGTAATTCGTCTTCTGGCCTCCGAGTTGCAGTCCTCCAAAAGCGAAGTTTTGTTATGGGCAGTGCTTTTCTGTTGGTAATCGCTCCCACATCACATTCCCGTTGGGGAGCCCCTGCATCGCAATCACAATGGAGAGTGCGGTCAATGCAGTCATTAGAGAGGTCACATTTGTATACATGCTCTCCAGCTCTTGATGCGTGCCAGTAATGTTGGTGTTGGCCGTGGAGGTCCGCCCACCATCCAAATTGCGTGTCTACATTTACCAGAGCTGCAGAGATGCAGTCGTGACGAATGATGACGATCACAGGATGCGTTGTCTGGTTTGCGGTTCATACATTTTAAATGTGTGGTGGAAGATGAAGATAGCTTAATTCCTGGTAAATCGGTTCATGGTTTTCTCTTGCTTAGAATACATTGACATTGAATATCTACGGATTTAGGTTCGAACTGTTCACTATACATGTTGTACATGTGCTGTTCACATAACTCAAGCTGTTCTATCAATGCCGCCATTTGTTTCATGGATGAACTGTAATTCACGTTGCGACTGTAGCAACCCGGATCAGCACAATTACATATCACAGTATTTCCCATCGAATCATGGAGGATCATCGTGGATACTGGATTTTGACAAAACATAGTTGAGAAGGTATAATGCTTTATGAATGGAAAATAACCCAGGGTTCTCAAAAAAAGACGCTCTAGTTTCATTATATGTATTTCCTAAAATAGTACACTAAGAATTTAGAATCATAGCTTACAAAACGCGGAATGCTTAGGAGTATTTAACTTTGTAAAAACATTTTCAACGTGGGAGCCTCCAGCATCCATTAACTTCTGCAGGCGTTCGCCATGTGAATGCTCTTCACTGCAGTTATGATTTCTGCCTTGAATTCTTTGACCGTACGTGGTTTAATCCTGTGGACATTATCATTTAGAAGTCCTCATAAAAAGCAACAACAGGGATTAAGTTCAGGCGAGTATGGTGTCTATGAACATCCACACCCCAAGCGACCAGGATATCCCTTCTTATTGTCCTTCACATTACCAGTATCTCGTTACTAGTCTGTTCATTGCAGATGTGCTTGGAGTGCCCCTACTTTAAAATTCATTTGAAACCATGCTGCACTTGAATAACGCTGCCAGTTTGATGAAATTTTTCACCATAAACACCCGCAGTTCTGTGCTAAACGCTAGCTTGTTTTCCAATTTTTCTCGAAATCAGCACTGGGACTGCGTTGTACAATACAAAACTCCCAAGTCTTACGTGCTGAATGATACCACGCACGAGGTTATTAGCAATGTAGTTCATGAAATATAAGTTATACATGAAATTTAAATATAAGACCCGGAGTTCTCAAGCTTAGAGGCCTAAGCGGGTTACGGGCCGGCCATGTCAGCACAGCACGAGTCATTGATCGAAGCAGGAAACCTCTGTCGACGATCGCGCTCCAGGCCGGATACGGTCCACGATTCCAATAGAATCGAATCGAGTTTCAACTCGGAAAAGTGAACCCGTGCAGGCCTCGGACGCGCAGAAAGACAGGAGGACCCGTACAAAACCACGTTCGCATCGTACTTTTCGGACGTTTGACCCAATAAGTATCGCCTCCAGGTCATGAGCTTCCAATTGACACCTCAGTTACTAAAATCCGTTCATCCGTTTGGGAGGAGTTTCCCGGAATGACAGAATGACACCTTGACAGATTAACCTCTTATGAATATGGATGGATAGATGGATGGATACAATGTGTTACTGGACCTGCTCTAGCTGCGACCCATTACGTTGGGATGAGCGGTTTCGCAAACTAACTCCACCAACTAAAAGCGCGTTTCCCAGTTCTCATTGATCGATGCACCCGTTTAATGTCAGAAGAGAAAAGACTTATAAGTTCGTACGCTCAAACCCAATAGGTTATTTTAGAAATGGGTCCAAGGTGTTCAGATCCTCCAGAATATATAAGGAAATATTACTGGAGCATGGATGAAAATGAAGGAAGCCGACTAATACAAGCAGACGCAATTTATGGAACAGCGGTGAGCATTCAGCCATTTTCTGTTTCACATGGGGTATAATAGATAACCCACAAAATGTGAGCTGTGATGCATATAAATCCCCTCCGAATTCAAGAAGACATCGAATTCGTCACCCTTATCTTAATACGTCACCCTTATCTAGTTATTCTCAAGTCCTTCTTCGATGAACTCCCAGGATTGTAATATCTCATATTCCGATTCCCAGACTTGACTTTTCGCCCAAGTCCCACCCAACCCGTCGAGAGAATTTATCACTGTCCTGCTAGTCATATTAGAGATCAAAATCAGCGAATAACCGTGTCTCATTTCTACCTCTGGCAAGTTGAACATTGAAAATCGGCTTGGAAGTTTGATGGAACAAAGGCAAATATAAATTTCAATTCCAAACGTAACGGGATGCGACGAGACGCTGTCGAAGGCTCTAAAGGAAAGGATAGACTCACCCTTATTTGCTGCTCGCATGACTCCGACTGGTCGATCAACGCTTTCATCTGTTTCAGGGAGGCGTCGTAAGCGATGCTGCGACTGTAGCAACCAGGGTCGGGACAACCATCTATCGCCGTGTTTTCCATCGAGTCGTGAAGAACAATAGTGGATACTGGATCTGCGCAACAAAATTGGTAAAAGTCGGCAAAAGGAATATTCACATATTCTGTCATCCGCTTTTGATTCTTTTTTTTCAACTTTGGAATACGAGATTTCGATTGAAATTGGGAAAAATGCGAAAAAGTTGTTCAAGAAGGCACACGTACTGCCATCTAATGACGGCGGTGAAGCATTATGCGCAACAGGCGGTAACCTACTTGTGAACCGAGGAAATGCCACAAGAAACAAGCCTCCAAGCCTAATTGAACACTCGTGATCGTCAGCCGTTACTTAAGCAAGTAGGTTGCCGGTTGTTTCGTAACCCTGACCTGTTTCCATGTCACAGAGGACTTGAACGGGCGGATCGCCGATGAAAACGCCATCGGGGTCGACGATGCACGTTCCTGTATGC